ATAATTTACGCCATACAAATAGGCCTAGTTTATGTAAACATTTCTAATTTGCCACTGTTAATGTCATAGCCATCGGGAGACCAATGTTGAAACTGTTTTACTTATAAGGGCGCACTTATTATCGTGAACCTTTGTCTCAGCAAACATTACCGAACGAGATGCCAAATCAATATCATATACTAAAATATCATCAGCAGGGATTGCGTTTGAATAGAATGTAGAAATAGGCTCTCCGTTTGAACATGCCAATGATCAAATCGAGTTAGTTTAGTGTTTTTTTCGTATAACTATTGCGATTGTCGAGCTCGAGAAGTGTTGCTAGTCAAGCCCTCAGACCGCCACAGAAGTTGAAAATGACAAAAGATTGTCATTTTGTACTGAATAAATTGTAACGTCGATACCAAAGTAGCAACCATAGTGTATCAACACTGCACGCAAAGGGATGCTATAATAGAGTTCAAAATAACTACAAAACGGATGTTGATGTCTATTATAAAATTTGTTTACGCGTTACAAAGTACACCGAATATTTCTAATTTATTCTCGGTGTCTGATTGCTAGACATGTGCCACGTCGCAAGCTTAATTGCGAAGAATGATTTTAATGACAACATATTCTGCCTGATCAACCGGCTTTTTTGACCTGTCGGGTAGTATTTCAATGCCTGAATTTGTTTAGATTTACAGAGTACTTTTCATGATTTTCACGCGTTTGCACGTGAATATCGCACAAAAATATATGGGTTACTATATTATAGTTAGTTTATTCTCTTTCGAATTTTGTTTACAGAAGCGGAATACAAAGCGACAAAGCCAAAGCATAAGGCGATTATTGAGGCCATAGAGATACTCGCGAAAAACAAATACGAAGCCACACTGTTGCAATTCGCAACCTTGGTTTGCTATCAGCCTCGATTCAAAGGATAAACATGATTCCTTCAAGCGGTAAATCGAAGAAGGATTCGTTATTCGGGAACATAGTAGACTTTTACTGACTGTTTGATTTATGTTGAACCCTAATATTCGACCTAAGATTCTGCAGCAGCAGAATTATGTCCATAGAAGCCTCTAGTAGCAGTATATTTCGATAGGATCCTCCGCCGATATTGACTCATAGCGTGCTTCTCCAAATCGCTTCTTCCAGTGCATGCAGCCTTTCAAATTCTAGCTTTAAGGACTGTTGTTCGCCAAAAGACGCCTATTGATCGTTTTTGGTTGCGTGTTATATGAATGCCTTCCACTCAATATAAATCGTGAGACGGCATACTACATGATCGGAAACTGATGCTATCAGGTGGTTTTTTCGTCCTGGCTTCAAAAAGAGGCAGCCGCAACCTCATTCGCGAAGCCATCAGAACCATCCTTCATGGAGCTGCCAACGCTTTTCAGAAAGCTGAGCAATGTAAGGTGAGATTTATAGCTGAAAAAATTGATAAATCTTCATCAGGTGGCAGTAACCACAGGGAATCTTACGCTATCAGCCTTTGCTCTACATAAATAGTAACTTTCAAAAAACAAAAGTTCAAATTTTGTACTTAAAACGCACCAAGCGATTTCCATCCAAGTCACCCTAACAGATTGAGCATTATTACTCGCGTACACGACGCTACGGTCTCCGATTTGCTATTTGCATTCAAATACACTTGTATTTCTCATGATGATTGGATCATTTTATAATTTTTTGTTAGCTGTGCATTACCAAAATATCAAGTACTATAAGCCATATATATTATAGTTGCGTAATGATATTTTCAATAAAATACCTGCGGCGTGATAGTTACTAGTCAGTATCGAGTTTAAATCTAGTCCCGCAAAAGCTCCAAGACTTATTCGAAAACATCTATCGCATGCATTCCATCATTCTTTCTTGCTTGGTACATATTTGATGGAACAAATCAGCAAGTAATGATATCGATTAACAATTAGTCTGAATGCGCGTGAGCCTCAACTCATTCTATTTCGTCCATCTGCACCTTTCTTTCTCATAAATGGGACGTGCGTTTTGCGCCCAACCCTTGTTATCGTTATACTCATTATTATTTATTTATTTATTTATAACTATATAGCACAAGTGTAGGATTCGATACATTAATGTTTTTAGGTCTATAGTTAAAGTCTCATAAGCGCCATAAAGCTCATAAAGCGCCAACACACTCTTCATGCGAATGAATGAATTCGAGCTCATTCGTAAAGTCACCTCCAATAATTTGGGGTATTCGTTTGGAACGGAAATCCAACAGCTGTAACTCGGAGCAGATAATGCACAAATTATACACCAAGGGTCACGATAAACCAGAGTAATTAATTAACTAAATAACTGAAGTAAGGGTATTTGCCTAAGAGTTTACAAGCAATACGCTTAACGCAAATCGCTAGCTCTCTCATAGCATTTGTCGTTCCTATTTTTATTCTACAGTGTGTCCAGGCATATTCAACAATAACCACCTATTTATGGCCGAAGTCCTCATAGATATGGGCAAGAAAACCGAGGCCCAATAGTACATCAAGAAGTGCCTTGTCTTCTCGGAAGGCGAAAGGACAGATAGGCAGAGCCTGGACAATGTTGAAAAGGCCAGGAAGCTTTCCAAGAAAATTGGGCTTAAACTTCAACTGAAATTCAATATTAGAATTAGAAGTGTATTCATTTTAATAATGTGCACAGAAGAGCATTGATACGAGAACTTTGGATTGTTCAAGAGGAAAAAGTGGGCGCTTACGTTGCTCTATTTAATGTCACCGAGACTATAGACCTATGCGTAGATATATCTTTATTAGTGAAAAAGACTTTTCTGTAGGGCACTACAAACTATAAAAAGACTAGCTCTGTCAAATATTCAAAACGCTATTACGGACATTGCGATAATACTGTTTAACTAATTAAAAAAAAACAGCGACATTTTCTACAAAATACTAAGAGACAATTATGTAGAACACGTAAGACGGTAATAGCCGTAGTAGGACTGGCTTTTCCTTATTAATTTGATACTGGTTGGTTAGACATCTCTACAATTCTTACGGGCGCTTTACAGGTGAAATACTAGTCGAGACCACACGACTGCATTGCCACAGTCCAATAACGCATCTATTTATCGACTAACCCCCGAGTAATTCCACTGGAGTTAGGGGTTGTACTCAATAAGGCAAAAATGTAGAACGAACGTAAGGATAAAGTATGAATAAAAATGTTCTTATTAAAAAATTGCAACAGTGTACTTATCTAAATTAACATGTTATATATAGCGTATCGCATGTAAAATGGCCCCTTTTTGGCCTTATAAACTGAGCAGTGTTTGAGACAGAAGATCATCTTTGTTACCTATTTCCATTTAGTCTTTTTATTCTGACCATTTGAAACGCTATGGATAATACGATCTCGAGGACTTCGTTGTCGTTGCGTTGTGCGTCGTTGTATTACCCATTGCCATTGACTATTTTCCTTACTTTAAACATGTAAGTGCTGTACTATTATCGTATATTCATATGACGTTACAGATTTCTATATCATCGCTTTAAAAAGTCGTAATTTATACACAGTTACCTGTGAGTTGTATAATTTGTGACAGAGGTGCAACGAAGCGACATAAAAAATAGCGTTTGCTAACTTCCGATAAAATATCTTAAAGTTATAATTTTCTCTAGTCGAGCAGCCTGCACGTTTCTAGTCCTCGACAAGCCGATCACATTTAGACCCCTAAATGAACGTCTAAGGGCTATCGGCAGTAGGCACGTTTCAGCAGGGTCAAAGGCATCACTTTTAACGTACGAGCGGATAATTTCGAAAAACCTGATTCTATATCATTTGACGATCAATTTCAGCTAATGGCCAAGCTGCAAAGATGTATTTCAATAATCGATAGAAAAACGCTTTTTGTCTTAAATCATCGAGATGTGCGTTTGGACATAAGTTCAATCTGTATTCTTCCATATGGAAAGTTAACGTTTGGAAAGCTTAAAATATCATAAAGCGTTTATAAAGCAACGACACTAACTAGAGATATTTTCCAGTATAACTTTGTGGCATAGACAGCTCTTTGAGCACTTATAGTGACAGGCCATCGGTAACTGTAGGTCAATAAAAAACGATATCTGTATGACCAGGTTCGGCAACCAGATCGTGGCACTCGCCCATAAGATACGGTAAGGTCGTCTTACTCTGCTCAATAAAAACGCCAAGTTAATCCAAGGAGTCTACGATAAATTTAGTTATAACAATAACTAAATTTATCGTAAACTCCTTGCATAGTAACAACTTACTAGTGCTAACTTAGCCGTAGTCAAGTAGCACGAGGCGTCGAAAGACCGCCACACACGGGCGGAAAGCCAATGGCATGGGGCGGGTGCATTAGCCTCTGTTGTCCTCGAAAAGCGAAGGTGGAAAAAACAATAACGAGAGAATATACAGCGGGAAACTGCCACATTCGTAGTAGAATTCTGTAAGGGTCTCACTCGTTGTTCGCTTATCGTAAGCGAACTATGGCAGCGAGGTAACCTCCAGAGCAAAAAGTGTTCTATATGTCAATAAATCCACGCAAAGATTCGCTCCTGAAAAATACAAAGTTTAATAGACAAATTTGCGTAACGATATCATAACACAAGATATGTTTGGTGGAAAAATTTATTTGCGTGACGACAACTCGACCTCACAATGCTATTTTATTTTTTCCCCAGATTGGCAAACTTGATCGACCGGCCCCGCCTGGTTCGGTGGCTGGCGTTGGTGACTTGCAGGTCATTAGTCGCGCAGTGCTGTTATGTGGTATGCTATGTATTAAATGTACCGAAAAAACCGCTATTACGGCGGCTGACGAAGGCGTAAAAGGTCGTTGAAGTGTCTCTCAGTAATCATCATAGAGTTCTGTAGCCAGTGTGTCATCTGCAAGTGCATCGTAATCGTCACCATCGTCTGCTTCGTCTCGATCAAAAAGCAAGCCTCAGACCACAATAGAGGAAAGCGCCTTTTGTTGTTACTATATATATATATATATACTATATTTTATAATTTTATTCAATTCATCGAAGAGCGAGAGATAGTAACAAGTAATAACAATTACTTAGGGCCCTTCACTGAGCTGAAATTCGCAGTAGCACCAATTTTATTCGACTAGCGATAAAAGCTCCTATAATGAGTCAAACACTTAATACTCAAGGTTATTAGAAATACATTGTATTACAAGTTTGTGACCCGTTTTACAAAAGAAAAAGAATCTAGGCTATTAGGATTTAAAGTAGACGCGATTTCCAGGATGAGATTCTTAAATAACTAGCGAATTAACGGAACTAGTTAAAACAAATCAATTATACCTCATGCCAGAAGCAGTTCATTAGTTTATAATCAAAATGAGCTAATCTAATATGATATATTCCCTATGACTCTTAACAGATTTGCGTGCTAATCCTAAAAACACGTTGTGATGTAGGTTCAAACCCTGGCTCAGACACATCGTTTTCTGCTGGGAGATAGCCGGCAGTAGATGGAATGCCTAATGAGCAATACCGAAAAAAAAAAAGACAGTAAAATTCGAAACTACTAGAAGACTACTCTGCTATAGCGTGCTTAGATTTGTTTCTGAATATTTTTTAATGACAAACTATTTGCTCCTGTTAAGGAAATAATTGACTGTGAATTAAGACTTCGATTTGTGTATGTCCCAATTAATTTTATAGATGTGCGGACTCAATACGACGCTCAATCATAAACCTTCGCTTCGTCGTTCTAACATCTTAAATTTCCCGCCATTGGACCGACCGTGTTCTGCGTGTTGACCGATATATTTATATAGACGCATACACACACACAGACACACAAACACACACGCAACAACCATCTGTTTGCAGCCTACAACAAGTTTTAACGTTCAAATCCAGCTGGTAATGTAGTGACCAGAACAATTAATGCACGTAGTTCATTTTGTTTCCTTTACAAGCTCAGCAGCTGTCATAATGTCGGTGAGTGTTTACGGATAAATAAAGGAATGCATTCAAAGAGTTCATGTGCAACATTTGAAATAAAGAGAAGCTCGCCTCTTCGTGCTGGGAACTGCGACATTTTATATGATTCTCTTACGTGTGAATTAAGAATGCAATAATCTTTCACCATAAATACTTCAACCTTCGACTGCATTTACACTATTATATGTTTCAGTTATTTTTTTTATTGTTTCAAATATATTTCACATTGAAGGCAAGTGCATGGAAGCAGTATGACACGACTCACGTTTTGTTTCAACACACTGATATAACACAAGGCAATGAACGTCTATGAATAATTGAATCCAGATAACTCGACTAACATCGACGCATTCTGTATCAATATTGAGAAGACACCGTTGAAATCATTGTTCCTCAATAAATGGTTCTCAATAAATTGTTGTTGTATTTGCAAATCCTGACATATACTGATTGTTATGTTCGCTGATCCAACTTTAATTCCAAGATAATTCGTTTTTATCATCTCTAACAATTACTCATTTTCTATTGTTGCACCTTTGGAGTAGCATTTCCTAGAATGTTACACAGAGTTCACCACAAAAAAATAACACCTTATTTCTGAGAGCGTCACAAAAAAACCTAACCTTAACAATTTCTAACCTTAAGAACAGTTTCAAGCCTAAACACATCAGCAGAAAATTTAATTGGACACTTTAATACAGTGTACACGACCGTATTTGCGACTGTTTATTTAAGCGTGTTTAACGTTTTGTAGGATATATTTTTCGAAAGAAGAGGCATCGTAAAAATGTCTATAATTCAATATGGTTAGCTTAACATAATAATATTGAACTAATCTATTATTTGCAGGACGCGCATTTTCCAATCGACATTTCCGTCAACAAATTGCTCGGTAGGTATGTCTTATTGCAAGTAATAGTCTAACGAAAGGTCGTTAAAGGATCACTTGGTTAATAAATGGTCATCGAAAAAATCAGTTGGGTGCAAACGTTGTGCGTATAGTACATTTTATGGAGTCACCTCAGTTGATAATGCCATTGTGTTCAATGCTGGTTGACCACAGAATGGCTTGTGAGTCGTCGACATTGCTCAAAGGATTGGCAGAAAAATCTCGTGCCGGTAAGGGAAAAAATTAATATAGCTATTCAAGACATGCCAGAACTTGACGAAGTTCGTGAACTTCTATCCGGATCATGTAAGTTTTTGGTGAACTGGAGTGAGTACGTAGCTCTAGATATATAGAGGAATCCACACGGTGTGAAATTAGTCCGAACAACATTGATAAAGACTTTATCATAATGTTTAGCTGATGAAAAAAATGGTGCTGTCGACTTGAAGACATTCTTATGTTAAAATATTTTTTATCAAAGTATTTTTGGTGCTTTTGTGAATACTGTTATAGTTATTAACTACTTCAACTGTCAACGATTGGTGGAAATTCTTAAGGAAACCGAAAAGGATACTAAAAATTTTTTTGGATGCTATTCGTCGCAGAGGATGAAAGACTGGCTTGAGGTTATTCGGCTATATAAGGTAATATGACTATGATATATTTTGTACTTCAATAGTTTTCTAATTACCATCCTCAATAGCCATTTTTTTAGGGATGTTTTTCTAAAGATCCAAGTGTAGGTTAAAGTAACGACTAAATCTAGGTAAAAAACAGATGTTATCAAAGCCATATAAATAGATTATATTAATATTATTAGCAAGCATAAGCACTCGAAAGGTTAATATGATAATACTAAATTAACGAACTAACGCTCGTGGGATGTATAAGTATCGCATGGCAAATTTACTTATGTTTTGTGCAACAGGTTGACAATGTGTACCTTGCTGACGCAGCCCAGCAGTTAACGCGCACGATAAATTATGAGATTCCATCTATGAAACGACAGATCAATAAAAACCGTCAACTTCAGGAAGAAAGCGTTAGCAAAGAAGAGGCCTACCTCAAAAGCAGCGCTGAGGTACGGACACAGTTTGAACGAGAGTGCCAGAAGCTCGGAATTAAGGTACGTACTGATTTCAAGTGCGTTTGCAAAGCATATGTGGGGAAAAAGACCAATACTTCAAACAAAATCTAATATGCTGCTCGCATTTTCCATTTCCGAATAGGGCGTGCATGTTAAGTCGGAGCTGCTGTCGCTCTTAAAGGAACTGCCTGGGGTTTTTGATGATGTTGCGAACAGTGTGGCGGAACTTAAACCAGCTATAGATTTTTACCGGGCCTTTATCAACTTCACCCTAGGACACAATCTTCCAGATGCCGAATTTCTCCCTCTTACACACTACATCCTAAAAAAAGGTGAAGAATCATTCATCGCAAGATCAGATATGACAATCAAAGTCGCAAATTGAATCAATGCCAGTTTAGTATACTTTTGCGCTAGCAGTACTGTTCGATTGCTATCTGTGTACTAGGGAACACAACGACATACGAATGGCGAAGCGGGCGTGTGCCCGATGTTGTTGCTGAGCGGCGTCCGTCATCACCAGTTAACATAGAAACAGCTTCTGATGAACAGATTAATTTTGGAGATTCTGCCGCCGATGAAGCTATTTCGCTTGAAAGCACCTCACAATCAAATGGCGATTTTGTTCATCTTGATCAGATCGATTTTGGAGCCGACGGTGACGATAACATTTCGTGGGATATCGCTATTCAGGATGACGGCTCAGGAAGTAATGAAGCCGCAAATGGAGGCATTTCAGGTGGGCCTTTTTGTCCCTGTGAGCGGAAAGCTATACGTAAACCTCAAAAATAAATTGTCCAGCATTTACTGGGTTTCATGTGTGTACATAGAAATTGGATTTTAGTGAAATTAGTGATTAGAATGCATGTTAGAAATGCAGTAACCATGAAGGAGAATTTATATATCGATGAGAGTCTAGTGGTCGTAAATGACTATTCTCTTCTTTGTTTTTTTAACGATAAATGAGTTATCAATTATTTCATTTTACTTCTAATAGAAATTCAGTAACTATTCATGGTGATGGGCTGCTGTTTTCAGGTAGCGATGAGGGAGGCGCGGACGTAGCGCAGGGAATAGATGCACTCTCTGTTCTACACAATCCTACTACACGGGAAATGTTTCTTAATGAACTGCGAGAAATCGAGTGTTTTCTGACACAGCGTCTTGAAGAAATGTTAATCGAAGGTACGGGTTTGTTGCCACTTTTTTTCCCACGTGCATAGTATCTAGCTCGAAATTTGACGACAACTTGATTTCAACAACGTTATTCAGCATTTAGTTCCATCGCAAAATAAACAATGCTGATATCGTCAGTCTCCGAAGCAGATAATAAATATGCTTGATTTATTAAAACTCTAATCATATGATTATTTGAGTCTTTTTGCCTTGATCCCGTCACTCTTCAAAGGTGATGTATTACTAGTGAGCATCATGCAGAAGGCTACAGAAGCCATACAGAGCCAGAGCGTTGCCTCGGTTCACGCTATGGTGGAACGCGTAAAGGCGCTTCTCGGGTCGCTTACCAGCCACAAGATGCTTCACCTCTACCAATTGCATTCGTCACCAAAATACGTTGATCGTTTGGTATGATATTATGTTTAGCTAGAATTTCATCATAGCGAAATGTGTTAGTTAATAACCATAGTTTTTTTAGATGAGTTCGCTCAATACGTTCGTATCTTCTTCAGCGGCAACGTATTAATATACTAGAAGATAGCTCGTTGGAATACTTTTGCCGTCTACCGTTGACAACATGGATGGGTAATAATAATAAAGGGTAGGCTACAGTGTTTGGAGAGGCTTCGAGCTAATAAAGATGTTCAGTTATCTGTATATTCTTGAGTTCGGCAGGTGGAGCAACTGGAACACAAGCTGTATCTTACCGATAAGTATATTCAGAGCAGGGACGCCGTTATTGCACGACGTCAAGAAGCCCGGACGGACCAAGCCAAGTAAGTTGTTCTTGTCTCTACTGTACCTTATTGTAGACCATTGAAGTGTTGATATAACAATTAGTAGTTCTAATTTTTTTTTTTTATAAAAACAAGCTGTATATAATTTCCTGTGCCTTGTAGGCTTGAGCCCCAGCTGGAGGTGATCGCAAAAAAGGCCAAGGTTCTTCGCGGTCAGATCGAACAGGAGATCTCGAACAAATACCAAGGTCGGCCAGTTAACTTGATAGGAATCAACTTCTAAAAGAAAACAAGTGTTCTACTTTTAATATATCGTTCTCTTTGTTAACTCAGTTACAATTTGCTGCCGATTCTTAAACTACGAAACTACATTTTTCAAATTTACTTGCCGTAATTGCATTTTCAAGGGGGATGACTGTGAAAGCCTGCTTATAGTTCTCGGATGTAGTACATAAGAGCAAACTAAGTAGCAATGCTTCCATGGGCTTGGTGTAAAAACTGAGAAAGTGCTGGATTTGTAAAGATACACTAAATATTTAGAATAAACGTTGTTTCGTTTACTGTATCCCGTTTGTCTTTGTTGGATGTCTTACTACCTACAGTATTTATTCTGTGCAGGTCAAAAGTGCATACTCTGTTCAATGTAGTCCTGAATAAATGCCGTTAACTACATGCGTGACCGTTACGTGCGTGCGTGCTGTAATAAACGTTGCATTATTAAGTTTAGTAATCTTTACATAAACTGTAGTTTCAAATGTATTTCTGGCCTTTTCAGATGCCGCTTAACTAACTTGAGTATTCATCTTTATTTAAACACAGTATGTGTATTTTCTGGCTACTGGCTCTTAGTTGATGCGATGTAGGTATGGAGCAAAATGAAGTGTGGTTCTTCAGTTGTTTGACATTACTTTAATCTAGAGTATGGTCTAGTCGTCACGACAAAGAGAGCTTACATCACTTCTAGTTCTTACTCAATTGTAATGCAAATACAAATGATCCGATAACCGTGAGAGAAATCTCTGACGTCGAATAGGAGTTTACTTGAATGTTCATATAAAGCTTGATAAGATGGAAGTCAAAACTAATATATTCGATGAAAGCTATAGCGTATTGAGTTAAACAGAAATTTAGAGCAACGGTATGCTAAATAAATGTACGACGTACATCGTATAATAATAATAATAATTATTATTATTACCACAGGTCTATTTACACGAAAAGTGAAAGACTGCGTTAACTGTATAACTTGTTCGATCGTGCAAAAAAAAAACTCAAAATTTAAGACACATGGAAAATACAAATGCCCTCATCTAATTTACTTATTATTACTTTTTTATTATTAGTTTTTAAGTTTTGTTCTATGGATGGAAGAGTTCGAGATACTATCGGTCAACAAAACAAATAGTTTTAGATTTCTCCTTCATTTGAATGCGCTGTAACGTATATGAGTGCGTTACCAGAGATTCGGTAAGAAAAATAAGATTTTTTTACTTCTAAGTGATTTAATCCGAACCAGTAGAGTTATTGCTCCTGAAAAAAGACAATTATCCCTAAAAAGCCAATCGCCACGTTTCTATATTCACTACACTTCTACAAGAAATCTTATTTTCGCTATATGCAGGCTTAACGGTTCCGTATTCGGCTGCTAGATAGAGACAGGCGTTGGCTGCGATGAGTATTCGCTGATACTTTAACACTTCACTAACATCCATTTCGGAGTCTCAATCTGCTCCTATTGTCTCGGGGTGCTGGGAAGCTTTCTTGAGCAATCTATTTAGAAAATTACTCTTAGGCACAATAGACTTACACGCATTAATTGTTCAGTTTTCGTAGCGAACGACATTAGCCAAAGTTGGCGCGTTATTATAGTGGTCATGATTATTTAGAACTTACTTCAAATGTCTATGCGCCAAATAGTACTGGACAGTTTTGCTACCTGTAATGTATGCAAGATGCTAGACTACAGTTTACATGCATTTTGTTATTCTTTACAGAGTAGTCGAGTGAGCTTACTGAAGCTGTCTATTCCAACCAGGCTTCAAGATTTTTATAGGTCTAAGGTAAGATATGCGATGAATAGGTAAATGACTGAATCACAGCAAGGATTCTGTAATATTAACCCATCTGCACATCTCCTTAATACTATTTTTCTAGGGACTTCGTTACTGCCAGAGTGCGTACGGGGGTTTGTACAGCATCGCCAATAGTTGTCAAGGAAAGGTGTTTGCTACAGGTTATCCTACGGCCCAATGGATCAGCATTACTTCTCCATGAAGGAACAATGTGTTCGACAGAATCAATCATCTTTGGCAGTCCTTGTCAAGCTTTCTCCAAGCCAAGTATAAGCAGCGAACGGATAAGCGGACTGACAAATCACCAATTGAGCCGTTAGCTTCATCTGCTCCTGCTTAATATTTAGGACAGCTATTCATGACGGTGCCATTCTATAATAACTATTCGTGCGATTTTTGCTAAGAGGCCTGCATTGTACAGCTTCGAAAACGAAGACGACAATACCATCACTCAACATAACCGTATGACCGCCAGAGCGAACAAATGGAAACAAGAAGGACAGGAGCGAATGATCCGGTCGGAGTGCTGTGCTTTCTCACCACATGTCTACCTTGCAGTTGCCTAAACCACAACACCGAATGCACGCGGACACATTTCACAGCTCAACAGGACATCGATCGTTATTATTATAAGTGGAACCCTCCCGAAGGATGCATTGTCCTAAAGGGTTACCACTACTAGTTGGAATAGTCATCGAAGAGGCATAAGTGAGGCTGTCGACGACACTTCGTCGAGGCGAGGTACCTGTATAGATGTATAATGGTCAACGTAGTAGGCTAACGGTGTCACAAAATCATTCTGCAGCTGTGAAGCGTATATGTGCGCGTGCGTGTCCCTGTATTGCTACGGGTCTTTCTATAGTTGTACTATATATAACGTTTCTGGTAACCGATAAACGAGCACCTCAATGAGGTAACTGGGAGTTGAACCGGTGACACGGCCTCAACTGCGATTGACATCGATCGTTGTTGTCATTTCAAATTTCGACCACCATTATCGCCACCACCTCGGCATCGCACCGTGTCAAGCCATCAAAACTGCTCAGTTTAGGTCCAGGTTTGAAACCAAGAGCTCGTAGCCCGTCGTCCTAAGCATTGCAGCTTATAGCCACACCATCTGCCGAACGGTGGTGGATCGTTGACGTTGTGACCAAGCGGGTTAAATGAATGGAAAAAAGAAGAAATAACGTAGAGCTGGCCTATGTTCGTCTAGATCAGAAGTTATATAACCTTGAGCAGACGGACACGTACACACACGCGGCAGCGAACCGCAGACTGTCACAGAACAGAACTGGCTAGCCCATCGACAATGATACAGATGGCTTGTCCGTCGCAGGCCAGCCACAGCAGTAACACTCATCGTCGTGTTGAAGGCACAAAGGTGGTAAATCACTGTGAGGTGGACTGTTACGGGCTACGACAACGTTCGTCGAAAGGGAGCGCATCAATGACACAGCAATAGCTCGGTTTAGCAGCAGCATCGTGCTGCGTCTACTGTGGCCGCGGGCTACACAGAAACACAGGAGTCGCGTCTCCGCCTGTCGAAGCATAGAATAGTACCAGTGAGTTGTCGCATCGAATACAAGGGCACGAGAAGCGACAGACACAAAATATTCGAATCGTTGATCGGACACAACGAAACGAATGAGCGACGACGTCCCGGCAGACCCGATCCTGCTGCCGCTGCTTGGAGTGGACAGCGTCACTGCTACATGCACGATGCTGCAGAAGACACCGCAGATGTTACAGACCATTTGATTGTCGATTAAGTGAAGTGAACCGGCGCACTGCTGATCAGTAGCAGGCGCTCAAGGGAGGCGCCAAGTCCAACAGGAACGCATCAAACCGACGGTAGAACAGAATGCAGAGACAGGAGAGAAAGGCTACGGGGAGGTTAAGGTTCTGTAGAACGACACTGACACAAATTGGCCAACGGACATAAACAGGATGCCAACGTTTCATTATTTAGCAAAAAAAATGGTGTTCATTGAAAACAAAAGCAGAAAATGGCGATGACCTGTCTAGTGAAGGACCCAAGACATGCACTTCATTTACAGCTATTGATTGGAGCATCTTGAAAGAAAGAATACAAGCGCTTAGATACACGCAAGAGATAGGTTGTGAATAGAACTACATGGCAAACCACGCCATTACTACGTAACGAGAGTGCAACGGCTAGTGTGCACTCCAAAATGGGCACCATAGATATCCACCCGAAGCGCACCAAAGGGCAAAAGATGTAATCGCATGCATTTATTTCTTCTATTTCTTGGAAAAAAAAAACAGAAATTTACAAATTCAGTGTAGGATCGTTTGAAGTTGCCGGTTATCATTAAGAGCTCTTAATGATAATTTGTCACAAGATCGAACTTTGTAATGATCTCTTAACAATTTTGGAAAAACAATTCGAACGAAAATAAGCTAACAAGAAGAACGAATACTTCCCACAAATCAGGGATAACAGCAAAACACGTTTGTCTGTCCATCATCACGGATAAGCCACGCTGGAACCCATCTGTCAGGCACATACGTCTCAAAGAGCATGCCTGGCAACTGTAAAAAGTAAGCTGGAGGGTTTATATAGGAGTTCACCGTCAAGAGCATTATGGTTTCTAACTGACTTTCTCTCTGGGCACATAGTGGGTCTTCGTCGTGGCACACGAAACAGCTCTGTATATGTTGGCTTTTGCCGTCTATTGAGGCTCTACGTCGCCGGTACGAATAATGCCAATAACTGGGACGACTGTATATAAATATGTCCATATTTAGATTTCTATCAAATATAACCGAATATATCGATCCAAATATTTGCAACATTGCCAGCAGTCAGCGCCCCATGTGATTGCTGAGGCGAATACGTATCGCAGGTAGGATGAAATACTGTTTTCAGATATCAAATGGCATTTTTAAAAAAGCTAGCAAACCGACCTCTATGCGTTGAAGCCATTCAGTGTAATCTGCATAGAAATAACCTCTAATTTATGTTATGTCATTATCTGTGGCGGTCTATGTTGTCGCGTCAATTAAAAATGAAGTCGTTTGCGAAACACATCACAGTATCAATTACGGTAGCAACGATAACATTTTAATGTTTTCATAAATTCTCGTCAATTAATTTTAAACTATATGTGGGTATTTTTCCTGCGAGGATGTGGGTCTTTAGTACGTCTTCACTACCTATACGTTGTAGTTTGTTTGATGTGCCTTCGAAGCGCCATACCAAATTCAATTGTTTTCAGCTTAAAAACATAACTTCTATTTTCTGACATATAGTTTCCCTTTGTAGTTTACGACGTAGCGGGCACCTTTCTCATACTACGTTTAAAGCCAGGGCATATGCTGCTGCTGTATTTTTGTCTGATTACTAATTCGTTTGTCATTGTCCGCTGGCTAAACGAACCACCATGAGAATTCCAGGGGCAGCCTCGTCCCGTTATACCAACATCTGGCGTTTTGCGTGTGTCCAGCCCAATGGCGGTAAAATCCGTCATAGCATTGTTGTGCAGCGAAAGAGTGGGCAGGCAACCCAGCTGGCGGTTTCGTTGGCCTA